AGGAAATACCCAACTCTGGCCCCCATTAGCCATCTTTTCCCCCTCAAAGAAAAAATGTACTGAAAAGCACTTGTCAAGGTCTCATCTCAGGGACAAAGGCCCATTAAAACACTAAGAGCTAATCATAGGATTGTCAAACCCTTCCCCTCCCCCTACATCTTCCCACTGATAGGAATAGGAAGCAGGGAAATTCAGGGCAGAAGAGGGCAGGTCCTTGGCAAGGGCCCCACCCTCAAGCCTGGAATCATGGCCCAAAGTAAGAACATACATCTGTGTTTTCCTGCTTGAATGCTGCCTTTTCCAAAATCACCCATGGCCCACTCTGCCCCACTATCCTGTGCCCATAAAAACCTTAGGCTCAGCCGGCAGAAAGAGAAGCAGCTGGACGTTGGAAACTATGGTTGGACGTCAGAGAGAAGTGGCTTGACTTCAGAGGGACAGCTTGACGGTGTATCTTTGAAGAGGAATCTTGCTGGGAATGGCTGAACTTTAGGGGAAGATTACCTTCCTGTTCCGTCCCTTTTCCAGCTCCTCTTCCCACTGAGAACCACTTTTATCACAATAAAATCCCTTGCATTTACCAGCTTCAACTCTCACGCAACCTCATTCCTCCTGGACACTGGACAAGAACTTAGGTGCCATTGAGTGTGGGTGCAAAAGGCTGTCATGCTGATCCTCCACTGAGCTGTTAACACTTGTAGACAGCAAAGCTAAAAGGGCACTGTAACACCTCCTCTGGGGTTTCAGAGGTCGTGGGTACCCTCCCCTAGATACTGCTGGGGAGCGAGTATGCAGTTCACTCTTGAAGGCGCCCAAAAGCACTCACTCTGGCTCCTCCATTCACGCACCTGTGCTCCACCTCCCTTGAGGGGTGGAGCAGCGAGTGAGTGGAGTTTGCCCCTGCCAGTGCCTGTGCACCTCAGTTCCCACCTGTGAAGGAGTCACTATCCTGTTTCACCACCACATCTACAGGGCTCCTGTATAATAATGGGATTACAATGGAAAGAACTGCAAGGCTGACTTTATTTAAGAAGTCCCTAGGGAAATTTTAAGAGACAGAAACAAGGACAGTAGAGGAAAATGATGCCTTACACACTTACAACTAAACAGTAAACACAGCCTAATTCCTAGCCACACAAACATAAAACACTACCAGCCTATTTAATCTCAGTTCACATTACCTATACAATATGTTCAGCTCTCAACAAAAAATTGTAAGGCATATCAAAAGGTAAAAAAAAGTGTGACGAGACAAAGCAAGTATCAGAACCACACTCGGATGTGACAGATATTTTGTAACTGTAAGACTGTGAATTTAAAATACTTACGATTAATATGGTATGGGTTCTAATGGAAAAAGTGGATAATATTCAAGAACAGGTGAGTAATGTAAGCAGAGATAAAAACATTAAATAAAAATCAAAAGGAAACATGAACATGTAAGGAATATAAAGGCACTGGACAGAGAAATAGGATGAAGGGTTGAAGAATCAGCAGTTGTTTTTATTGCCATGGTAGACTTGTCCAATATTGTAAAGCTAAAGGCAAGGATCTAACACAGGAAAAGAGAAAGTGGAAAATTGACAAATATTTGCTTCATGAGATCCTTTCCAAGGTCAGGATTAAGTCCTAAAAGGAGGAAGATGAGAAATAACAAATTAGGCCAAACCAAAAGGTTGTAAACTTGTCTGTGAAACTTCGTTTTAATTAGATAACATGGCTACTGCAAAAAATAAAGGTTATACTACTTCCCATCTCCCACCCCATTCTTTCCTCAATAATGTTATGAAATTGTCAACATTTAAGAAACTCCCAAAGGAATTTTTCTTACACTTCATACTATGAGTTGGACAGTTTTTGTATTTTTCAATTTAATAAATTCAATTTCATTTTACCTTAAAATTTCCATACCTGAAGGTGAAAACAAAAACCATACAAGATAAGCAGTAACCAAAGTTACTGAAGTAAATATTCATTCAGCAAATATTTATTTAGCACCTTCTTCATTCTAGGCAATGGATACCGTAGTGAACAAAACAGAAATCTCTGCCCTTTTGGAGTACTATCCTTAGGTGAAGACGGATTAATAAGCAGGTATACTATAAACTTGCAGAAAAACTTTTTTTTTTTGAGATGGAATCTCACTCTGTCAACCAGGCTGGAATACAATGGCAGTGATCATGGATCACTACAGCATCACCTTCCTAGTCTCAAGTAAACTTCCCACCTCAGCCTCCCAAGTAGCTGGGACTACAGGCACATGCCACCACACCTGGCTCAATTTTTTGTAGAGACAGGGATTTGCCATGTTGCCCAGGCTGATTGTGAACTCCCAAGCTCAAGCAATTTGCCCACTTCAGCCTCATAAAGCGGTGGAATTACATGCATAAGCCACTGCGCCTGGCAGGAATAAATTTTATGGAAAAATTCAAGCAAAGGTGAGGGATTGAAGAGTTCCAAGGGTGAAGTATTATTACTTTATATTACTTTGGAGCACAGGCTCCAAAGGGGGAACATAGTGTGCCTCATGTGCTGTGGAACAACACGGAATGTAATTAGGCAAAGGGAAGAGTCCATAGTGAGATCCTCTGGGGTCCTGTAAAGAGTTTTACTGAGTGAAATGGAAAAAACTTGAGAAATGTTTCGGGCAGAACCACATTGATTACTACCTGGAGGGTGTTGGCAAGGAGACTATTTAGGTGGGTATCACAATGTAACACAGTGATTTACATGGGAGTGGTAGTCTGGATTTATTTGGCAGGTAGAAATGGTAAAATTTGCTTATGGAGTGAGGTATAAGATGGAAGTCAAGGGTAATCCCAAGGTTTTTCACCTGAGTAATTAAAGAGTGGAATTTGCCATTTACTAAAATGAGAAAGATGGCAGTTAATTAGAAAAGAGAGAAAATATTATACACTTAGTTGTAGATGTGAATTTTGAGATGTTCATTAACTTACAAGTGCAGGTGTTTTTTCTTAAAGTCTGTTTTCTTGGGAGAGGTCTTAGCCAGAGATGAACATTTGTGAATCATCATTATAGGTGATACTTAAAGACATCAGAGTGAAGAGGTTTATGGACTGACCCAGCAACACCAATACAGTCCTGGATCGTCAGCTATGAACCACATATACAATGGTGATCTGGTAGCAGAGCTGAAAAATTCCTATTGCCTAACAATGTTGTAGCTGTCACAACATTCAAGCACAAGACATTACCTTTTCTATGTTTACATACACAAATACTTAGCATTGTGTTACAATTGCCTACAGTATTCAGTACAGTAACATGCTGCAGGTTGGTAGCCTAGAAGCAACAAATGTATTTTCATCATTATGCAAACACCATTTACTGTACTTACACAAATCTCGATGTATAGCCTACTACAGCCTAGGTGTACAGCCTACTATACACTTGTAGCCTAGGTGTATAGTAGCCCATACATCATCTACGTTTGTGTAAGTACACTAGAAGATATTTGCAAAATGCTGAAATTGCCTAACAAGGTATTTCTCAGAAGGGTCACCATCGATGCATGATTGTATTTAGTTATGATAGTGAGGAACAGATACCAGCAAAGGATCTGGAAAAGGAGAAACCACGAACTAAGACAAGAACTAGGAAGAGTGGTTTCTCAGAACCCAAATACAGCTTTTCAAAGCTCAAGAAGTAACAAACTAGACCAACGCTGCTTCATTGAACAAAGAATGAAACTGTGGATCAGCCATTGTATTTGGCTGCATGGCTATTGCTGACTTGCATAGAAGCTGTTTTGGTGGAGCGGTAGGATGGACAAAAGCGTGAGTACCATATTCGAGAGAGAATGCAAGGTTCTCTCCCAAGAACTCTCAACAAGTTCCGCTGAAGAAAGATTAGCTGAGGTGGAGGAGATTGGAGAGGGGAAGAGAAAACAAGTAATTAAGGAACTTTGGAGGAACTTAGTGGACAGTATTATGGGCAGTACTAAGGAACCATTTAAAGACAAGTCCACATAGCTGTGTGCTTTTCTCCAGTCTTGTTCAACTGATGCATAACAGTAGAATGCTGGAAGCAGGAATTAGTTTTAAGGTAAGATGGTATTGAGTAGAGGACAATAAAATACCTCTACTACAGAGCACAGCAATGTTTGGCCTGGTGGCTCACAGAAGCTGAGGCTCTTGAACGTCTGGGCACAGCATGAAGGCATCAAGCTTGAGAGATTGCAGGCCTTAACAAACTAGAAGTGCTAGGAGGAAGGATGGTTCTAAACAAACCAGGTCTTTTCTCACAGAGCAAGCACAGCAGTAGAGATTTTATTTTATTTTATTTTTTAGACAGAGTCTCGCTCTGTTGCTCAGGCAGCAATGGCACGATCTCGGCTCACTGCAACCTCCGTCTCCCGGGTTCAAGCAATTGCCTCAGTCTCCCAAGTAGCTGGGATTACAGGCATGTGCCACCAGGCCCGGCTAACTTTTTGTATTTTTAGTAGAGACCAGGTTTCACCATGTTAGCCAGCCTGGACTCGAACTCCTGACCTCAGATGATCCAACCGCCTCAGCTTCCCAAAGTGCTGGGAATTACAGGCGTGGGCCACCGCGCCCGGCCCAGTAGAGATTTTTTTTAAAGACTGTGGTAGGTCGATAAAGGAGCCATTTGTCGCCTGGGCGCTTCGAGGTCTAGAGACTGAACCCAGTTGGGGTACGGCCCTTTCCAAATCCAGAAATATCTATTAATAGAAGGGCTCCCTCCGGGACCCAGGGGGATGGACTACGGTTTTAACGCCGGAACTTACAACCTGAAGTTCTGCTGCTTGTGACTGCCTGCCGGAGAGACTGGCATGGTGGCGACCAGCTGGGGAGTGGTCCACCACCCCTTTTCTGGCCGCCTCTGAAGTCCCTGTACCTCCAAGCCCCTGCGTTGGCGGTTCGGGCCGAGGATCCGGAATGTTTGCCGGGCGTCATGGCGACGGTGGAGCTCTGGCTCAACAAGCGGCCGCGCGGTTGGCTGGCGGCACGAGGCCGAGGAGGAGGGCGGAGGCGGAGGGGAGGGCAGAGGGTTGGTGGAGCAGGAGGAAGCTCCGGACGACGACTAGAAGAAGGAGGCGGGCGGCCCGGGCCTCAGGCCCCTCCCAGGCTCTGAGTCTCCCGGCTGCAGGCGGATGGATGGGGCTTCTTCAGGCGGTGGCGGCAGCAGCGAAGGTGGCGGCGGCAGCAGCGGCAGCGGCTGTAAGTGCAGCCTCCACAAGCCATCTTTCCCCTTCTGTTCCAGTTTGGGATGAGGGGCTCCTGAGGTGTCCTCAGTCCCCTTTCTCTCCTTCCCCTCCCCCACAGCAGTGTACCGCCCGGAAGACCCTTAACTTCCGGGGAGGGGCTGCCTCAGAACGCGCCTGGCTTGCTCGCCGTCGGCGGCCGAAGGCGCATGCGCAGCTCCCTCCCCGCCACCGCCCACTACCTCCCAGCGCCGCCCTTTTGCCTTCGCGGTGGCGGCGGCGCGCTGGGAATCCGCTGCGGAGTGAGTTCGCCTCGCCCCGTTCGCTTCGGTCCCTGATCCCAGTCGGGGTGGGGCTAAGCTGACCACCCGCTGTGGCTCCGCCTCTTTCTCCTGTATTTCCCTCACTTGTGTCCCAGTCCCAGGAGGCTCCCGCTTGCACTGCAGCCTTTATGGTGAGCAGCGCCCTGGGCCAACCTGCCCTTTTCGAATGGAGTCAGGGAGGGAGGAGAGACTCGAATAGGGTATTACTGTGAGGAAATGAGGTCCTCCTAGCGCGTGGGAGGATCCCTTGGGACAGATGCTTGCCGCTCTTTAGTCTTGTTGTTTCAGCTTGTAGTGGTTAGGTCCCTGGCCTGGAGCCTGTGTGGTCCCTGCATGCTGTGTGACCTTGAGCGAGTCACTATCCCTCTCTGGGCTTCAGTTTTCCCTATTTAAAGCTTCCTCCAACGCTAGAATTCTGTATTTCTGCAGAAGAACTTACGTAATTACAAGATTGACTTGGCTATTGAGGCCGCTTCACCGAGATGACCCGGAGTTGACTGAATCTTCTTCACTCATGGGTGGAATGAGGCGACCTATTTATTGGGTCGCTTTTATTCCTTTACCATTGGTTGCAAATTGCATGACTTAAGGCTCATTAAATGTTTTTCTAAAATTGTCATGGGATCCTTGTCCTAATTCCCGACCATCTTTTTAAACATGTGAAACGGTAGATGGTGAGCTTGTATCTCGTTTCTGTCTCCTTGCTACTGAGGCTCTCTTTCCTTTGATCCAGATGGTGTGGTCGCTCGATTCTCCCAGTGCCTGGCTGAGTTTCGGACGTGGTTAAGAACCAACTGGTTGAGGTTCAATGCAGACAAGACGGATGTGATGCTGGTAGGCAGGGGTACGCTTGGAGATTAAGGGAGGGAAAAGCCAAACTCCCTCAAGTAATGTGAGATTATATTACTCTTCTTATATGTTCCAGTGTTTGAGAATTGATGGGCCAAAAATTTCCAGAATTTGGGTGAGATAAAAATAACATGTCATCAATGTAAGAACCATAAACATACAGTTTGTAATATACTGATAAAATGGGGCCACTGGATAGAACTGTGTAAAACTTATGAAAAGAAAATCCAAAACTGTTATTTGAAGAACCAAAAGCCTACATAAGTGTTTTAGAGTGGCATTAATAATAAAAAATGAGACTAATGAAAAGATGATGCTGATTGTCACTATAGATGTGGGGCTTCTAAATGTAATAGGCTAAGTTTTTTAGATTTAGGAATTTTCAACCAAATTAGTAATTATCCATACAATTTTACCACCACATCATAAAGGCATAGTGTAGGCTGTTGCTTTTAAATAAAAATTTCAGGAAATAGTTTATAAACTAATCTCAAAAGAGACTCATGGACCCTGAAAATTGTTAGATACAGAATTTTTTAGTTTTGGATGTGTTGTATTAATCTATTTCAATCAGCTAACCCCAGAGGCTAAACTGTTATAAATACAGTATTTTCTTGGTGCATTTTGAGAGGTACCTTTTTGGATTGCATAACAGGTTTATATATGATATATATATATGTTACTTGTATTTGAATCAGGTGTTGGTACTGAATAAAAGGTTATATTTCTTAGGTATATGTAAATTGCTGAAGAAGTTTGTTCATTGGTTCGTTTAAGGTACTGGTTGAAGTAAGATTGTGATACTAAATGCTTTTGTTAAAAGCATAATAATAACTGAGGGGTTTGTGTGTGCGTGCGCCTTATAGCCTCTATAGAATTGTTTAATAATTTTGAATAGAAGATTCAGTAAATTGCTTACAAATGATTTATCAATATAATAGGAGTTTTGAGTAGCTTAATGTCATAAAAATTAATGTTAGTTTGCCCGAAAATAAGGCAGCTTTTAGGTGGGCAATAGGAGCTGAAGAGGCATTTATTCAGGCTTTCTATAGTGGTTTTTTGTTTTGGGACATTAATCACAAACCTCACATAAAATTGGAATTCACCACACTTTTTTAGTTTAAAGATTTTATACACAATTTCAACAGAACTACTGTTTTGGATATCACATTAATAAATAACAAGGTGTAATTAAGCAGACACAATTAATGGTGCATTTTCTCATGCCTTTAGCTCTGTCATGTCCTATTTTCAACTCTTCTAGTATGAATAGGCTTTAAAAATATTTTTTTTGTTAACCCAAGTATAAATATTAACTGTTTGCATTTGGATACAAAGAAGATATCTGTTGAATTAATCCAAAGTGCTGAAGAACTAAGGGTAATGGATGGAAACAACAAGGAGGTAGATTCTGGCATAATAAAAGAATGTTTTAAACATTTGAACTTTTTTTGAAAAGAGGAGCCTTTTTATGAGATATAGTGAGTCACTGGAGGTGTTTAAACATAGGCAAAAAGCCTGGTAGTAGAAGCATGATGAGAGATTACTATTTTGACAGAGTAGAGACTTGACTAAAAGATCTCTAAGGTCCCATCCAACACTAAAATTCTGTGACTAGTGAATAGTTAATTTTTATATATTTAATACTGAAGAGGGTAAGTAAGCATTTTGAGAAAGACTTTTCATTCCCTAAGGTGGCTCCTGAAAATTTTACAGTTAAGTGTATCACTAAAATAAAATAATAGTGGAAGTATACTGAATTCAGTGGTAATGTGTTACCTATGAATTGCAGTATTAGAGCTGTTTCTTTTTTATAATATCTGAACCTAAAAAGACCCACTGAATCCACATTTATAAAAAGGGGAAGGAGAAAAATGTAGAGATTTTCTTCCCTCAATAATAATAATACCATTTAAATCTAGTAATATTGACACACAATATTAATAAACTTAAAAAATTATTTAGGCCGGGCACATTGGCTCACGCCTGTAATCCCAGCACTTTGGGAGGTTGAGGTGGGCGGATCACAAGGTCAGGAGACCGAGACCATCCTGGCTAACACGTTGAAACCCCGTCTCTACTAAAAATACAAAAAACCAAAATTAGCCGTGCGTGGTGGCGGGCGCCTGTAGTCCCAGCTACTCAGGAGGCTGAGGCCGGAGAATGACGGAGAATGACGTGAACCCGGGAGGCGGAGCTTGCAATGAGCCGAGATCGCGCCACTGCACTCCAGCCTGGGCGACAGAGCCAGACTCCGTCTCAAAAAAAAAAAAAAAAAAAAAAAAATTATTTAACAGTAAGATAGATACCCATTCAGAAATGTTTCAGACTTCATTTTCCTGACAATTTTACGATTCAGTAGGTTACTGGACTGTGATCCCCTGCTCTTTATCACAGTTGGGATTTCTGTTGGTAATTTAACTGAAGAATCAAAGATTCAGTGTACTTAAGCAAGCAAGTTATTCCTGTACCTTGTATTTTAACACTTTTAATTTTCCTTTGGTAGGCAAATTTCATAAATTAGCTTTCATATTTTAATGGAAAACTCTCCTTCATCTCCATGGTATAAAGCCTGAGTTTGTACCTCTAGGCCCCTAATTGTGTCTGTATCCACCTCAGGTCCATGTACATCCATTGTTCTTTGCCTTCAGCTCTTTTCATTAAGTGTATTGATTGAAAACTATTCGGATATGAACTGACACTTTTAAAAAGTCATTTTTATTTCAAGTCCAAAGCACTGACATAATTCAACAGGGTAACTCTTAGAAACTATATACCTCTGCTAAAATACTTATTCCCCCAAGGAATCCTGAAAAACACTTTTACATAAGTTTTCTAAAAAATAAAATGAAAATACTGTACAGTACAGTTAATGGTAAAAATTGTTTGTAGATTTGGGAACCTTAAAGTTTTCCTTTCTCTTCTTTCCCTTGCTTTTCTTTCAGTAGAAAATGTGCATCAGATGTTTATGTTTAATTGGTTTACAGACTGTCTGTGGACTCTTTTCCTGTCAAATTACCAGGTAATGTCCTTTCACTTAGCAGCTACTTCATATATCTGTAAATGCAGTTTATTCATGCACAGATTATTATTGGACATAGCAGTTTCAAATTAACGTTGAATCTTTGGAAATAGGAAAATGCTTGATAGAGTCTAGAATTTTAAGGGAATATAAATAATTTAATAGCCTCCCCTATATTGCATTATAAGTTAAGTATAAACTTTAAGAAAAATTGTATATGTACACATTTATGCAATATATTGTAGCATTGGTTCACATTATTTGGAGGGAATGAATAATTCTCATATTTAAATGGTTGATTTTGGTAGCCACTTTTGAAACTGCATTAAGAGGAACCCTTGAAGATTAGGAAAAAAACTCAGTCTTTCGAAATAAAGACTTTAAAACTGGTTTAGTAAAATATGTTAGTGACTGTTTTAATGTCACCTTTGTGTTATTCAGTATCTGCCTTAGTATAATGGAAGTGAAACATGTTAGTTACTTTGAAATCATTGGCTCTGGCCATCATCAGCATTGTCATCATGGCCAATTGGCAGCTGTAGGCCAATACGTTAAAATAAACTTTCAAGTTACCGGCATTTCAGGCGTTGCAAATAAGTAGGTTCTCCCTCTATGGTAGATGATAGCCATAAAATAGTCAATTTTCAGTATTTTAAATTTTGTCTGGTTGTGCAAAATTCAACCAGTACATAACTCTGTTGCTACTGGCATGACAGAAGTGTGTGAGAACACGCAAATGACATGAGGATGGCAGACTGCCTATCACAACCCCTTCCATTAATTTTTGCTGTGACCTCTTTCGAGATTTGGGGATATAGAATTTTACATTTCCTGTCGGGAATCTACTGATTGAGAAATATTTGTCAAGGCATAACCGCTTTCAAAGCACAATTCTTGCCGCTGTTGCATCACAGCAACATCCGTTTTTCAGCAAATGCATTCCAAAAACGACCTACATGTAAAATATTACGTATTTTTCCCCTGCTGTGTCAATGCTGGATGTGGCTCCTTTGGCACTGTTCCTTGACCCCTCTGATCCGTAGACCACCCCCTCCGCCTGGAGTCGCGGATCAGCTGGAGCCAGAGAAGCGCCCCGCGCGGATGCCCACCTCCTCCCACACCCACCTTGACTCCGCCCCCTCCGCTCTTCCCGGGGAGGGCCGGCCGCGGGGCCGCGCGCGCGCCCTTGCTCCGGCGCGCGCTCGCTGGCCTTTTCCCTCCAGTCCAGCCCAGCCGGGGCGCCGCGAGGGGGCGGAGTGGGGTGTGGTGGGCGCGCTCGGGCGGCTCCTGCGCGTTCCCGCCGAGGCAGTGGCGGCGGGAGCGGCAGAGACGGCAGCGGCCGGAGTCCCGTTGCTGAGTCTCACATCCGGGTTCTGGCGGTGACCCAGCTGCGGCCGCCGCGGAGATGTGACCCGGCAGTACGGCAAATATGGCGGAGGTAAGGGAGCGAGCTCCCCCTCCCTGTCCCGGAGCCGGGCGCCCCCGGCCCTGGGCCGGGGAGGAGTGGAGTGGGCCTGGCCAGGAGAGGCCCGGCCCTGCTGGCGCCACTGCCCACCTGTTGTTTGGAACAGGCCATGCTCTGGGCGGGAGCTTCGCCTGGAACTTAGTTGGGATGGGTCCGGGGTTAGGAGGAAGCGGAGGCGTACTTGGACTTCGGGGGCAGTTTGAAGGGTAGTGCAGCGTAGTAGTGCGGGGCGAGGGGGAGGGGGCGCCCGCCGGGGAAGGGGGCGCCCGCCGGGGAAGGGGGGTCTGTGGCGCAACTTCGCCGGCCGGTGCTAGGGGCCAGGAGAGAAGCTGCTGCTTCCTCTTGCGAAGTTTTTTCCTTTCCTAACCGAGATGCTGTTGCGCCCTTCCGCGTCACCCCCATCCGTTTACGACTGACATCCAGTCTGTGTTGGTGGGGAAAACGTAAGGCTGACGGCCTTTGATTAACTCTGTAATTTTCATGATTGTGGTAAAATGAGCGTGGAGAAATTAACCTGGCCAGCCGCGGTCCAGCCCTCCAGGTTGGGGGGAGTCTGCCCATTTATCCAGACAGTTCCATCGCCCTCTCCCTAAGGTACAACCTCTGAGTTGCTTTTCCACCTCCCCCACCACCTTCACTTTCCAGGCTTCCCCCCCTTTCCAAATCAAGGCTACCTATTCTTTCTCTTCTAATTTTTCTTTCATTGGAGAAGCTTTTTGTTGTTTCTTTTTGCTTGTTTTATAGAAAACAAGTTCCCAAAGCCCCTTTCTTTGATTTTACATATTTGGGCCGCATTTGGCGGGCATACAACTGCTGTTGATTTATCATTAATCGGAACTAAGTATATGCTGCTGGAACTTTAAGTAACTGGAAGTTTAAACCTTTAAAATATCTGAAGTTTTGTGGGGATTTGTTTTGTTTCCTTTTTTCCTTACCCGTGGAACAATTTCGGTATTCTTTATCTCTGGGAGTTTGAGATGATATATCTGGATTTTATGTCTCTTTTGAAATAAGGCACTGTAAATTTTGATTGATAAGGCATTTCTCTTGTTTGAATTGCCATTTTCATGGTTTCACAGGCACCCCAAAACAGATTTAGGAAGGAGGGTGAGATTTTACTGTAGCAGTCAGGGCTGTTTGCTGCCAATATTCTTTTTAAAACGTTCAATATCTCTAATTTACAACTCAATTTAGATCTTAGATTTATTTTCATTTCTTTTGCTCTTGGTGGTTAAAGAATTGTATTTCCAGGCACACGAATTGGAGAACGTAGTACTTTCCGTTTCCCCAAAATGTGGCTGTGTTTGTTCCAGTAGACTGACAATCGGTACCTGGATTTTAGTCCTGGTGAGGTTCTTATTCTTAAGTGTTACTTTCCTTCATGTTTAAGGAGTTGTGTGTAGCTGAATTTATACATTTTGTCAGTTAGTGTCTTCAGTGGACCCCTTTCAGTGAATATCTCATAAGCAGCAGTGTGCTACATAGGTAACGTGGTTTCTTCTCTCATGATGTTGCTCAGGATGGTTTGAGCTTTAAGGTGTGTAGTCATACTAAGGCGAGGTATTACTGAAGGAAAATAGCTTATAGAGAGAAATTTAAGTTAAAAAAACTTAAATTTAAAATTTATGTGTTTTTAAAAAACAAATTTTACTGCTAAGGGAACTAAAAATCTAGTATGTAAAAGAAATTATGTTAACTTTTTTGTTTTAAAAATTAAAGATGGTTGCATTATTGTAAATTAAAGGAAAAAGATATTTTGATTCACTAATCAGTCATTTCCTAATATTTTCTAATGTATGTTTTAGTTTTCTTAAATATTTTATCAGTTTGAGAATGGAATGTTTTGTAGGAACGCATGGATGGTTCAACTTCAAGAAGGAAATAACTGGAATTTCGTTTTTAGTGTTTATTTAATGACCTAATATCTTTAAACAATTTATCTTCTATATTCTTCAGTTACTTGTAGATAGTTTCATATATAGTGAATTGGGGAAGAGTTAGAGAACTTTCGTGATCTGTGTCTTACAAAAAAGTCTAAGACGGGTGAAGAACTGAAAAGTACAATTGATTTATAATTTTCCTGGCCTCAATACTTGAATAATTACGATGAGTTTTGAGATCAGTGGTTTTAAAAAAAATTAGACGAAGGAGAAATGCTTGGTTGGCTTCTACTTTGAGCTCTCAGTAGATTCATTCTTTATGAAGCCAATATAAAAGCATGTGATGAAATAATCCAGATGCTGAATTATTGTGCTTTTGATCAAACAAATCTGAAGATTTAAGGATAGCTTGTGAAGTAACAGTAAGTGCAAAGCAACAGTATATATATATTTGTTAAATCTGAGGGGGAAAACAGGTTATTGAAGTATGTCTCCAGAGAAAAATGTAGGTATTACGGTTCTGAGCTTTAAAAAAAAAAAAAAATTGTTGCTTCCTACAAGAGCATGAACCTGACCATGTTTTTCCAGAAAAGCGTTTAATTCTTGAATACAAAGTGCTTTATATGTGAATAGGATATACTGATTTTTTATATTTGATCTGATTATCTTAGTCCATAATAGGAAGTATATATTGGTTCTTTAGTTATAACATTAAAGCCATATTTAATGTACTTAGAATGAATGGCATATGCTCCCTTGCTTAATACCTTTTGGCAGTATTTCTCATTGCTTATTATCCCTTAAAATTATTTACCAACCTTCTAAAAGGACGCTCTTCTACTCACACTTAAAGGAAGGAAATTACAGGATAGTTGCAGTTTTACTAACTGCAAAAATAAGAGGAAAATGAGAGAAAAAATAAGAGGAAGAAATAGTTGATCCTTTGGGTTTTATAAGGAATGTACTAGGGACCTTTGGGAGCGAACAATTTGTCTTTTATTTTAGCGTTTGTAATCACGTAAGGGACTTTCTTCTCAAGGAAAAACCATGGCACAATTCAAGACCTATCTTTTCACGTAGGCCACGTTTCTGTGATATAAAGAGAAAAAAATTAATGGATTTGCTTTTTCCTATTTAAGTATTTTAGTACTTTCAAAGATGGTATATAATCTTTTTATTCACTTTCACACTTATCTATTCTCTTTAAAATGGACTCCTTGCTTAGCATTTTTTGAGTGTGTTTGGATTTTGTTTTTTAAGGAAGGATTATGTTAAATGTTACTCATGAAAACGTTAATTTCTACTCTAAGCAAAATGTGTTTCACTGCAGTGAATTTAAGCCTCAAATAATTCTCCACACTAGTAATGAAATTTTTTTTTCATGTTTATACTTCAGAGCTATTAATATTTTAAAAGTAGTCGAGATCACCAGTGCGTGAGAGTCCTAAAAAGCTTAATTCAGTGGCAGTAAGAGTCAGGGTACTTGAATAGGTGGGAAAGGTTTGGTGGGAGAAATAAGTGAATTATTTTAAGATAATTCTGGTAAGTGAGACTAACAAATTTTCTAAATAATTCAGAAATAAAACACTGCCATTGAAGCTTAAGCATGTCTTTATGAAAAGTAATCAGCTATCTAGAAATGCCTGCCTGGCTTG